ATTTAATTATATACAGGTTCTGTGTGTCCATGGAAGAGGCTATTTAAAAATAATGAACCTTCAACCAATTTTAACAAAGGAGGACATAGAGTTGCTCTTGCTAAAAAAAAATTAAACTTTAAATCAGCAGGAGCAGGTAATTTAAATTTGACTCTTAAGGGAATAATCCTGAAGAGCTTTGGTACCCTAGATATTAATTAAATCAGACCTTGGAAGCCAGGGAGATTTCTCCTTTGTCAATGAAAGACAATGAAGTCCCAATATTTTATTCTACCTTCATTCTGGCAAAAAAAAATAAAATATGAGAATGGATAACTTGTGGGTCTCATAAAATATTGGACTAAATGTTACACTGCTCATTAAATCACACCAGAACTTTCACTGCTAAAGCATTCCATGTTAGATGTGATGCCACACGAGGTAAATGTTCGTTTACTGGTCAGATTACGACATTCGGGTAAATGATGCTGCACTCATTTGCCAAGTTCCTACATGGCTTCAATGAAGTGTAAATATTTGCCAGCAAAGTTACATTATACAATTCCCATACCGAATATACTATGTACCGTATATACTCAAGTATAAGCCGACCCAAATATTAGCCGAGGCACCTAATTTTACCAAAAAAATGTATTGACTCGAAAAATGTATTGACTCAAGTATAAGCCGAGGGTGAGAAATGCAGCAGCTACAGGTAAAATTCAAAACAAAAATAGATACCAATATATTTATTTGTCGTGTCAGGGCAACCAGTCAATTGTATTACATTTCTAACAGAACAAAACAAACAGACAAAGCACAACATTTGAAAGTTTGGTAGTTGATTAAATGTCTTTTTACCAGTATCTGGCCACTTGGAGTGCTTCTGGTGTTGCCACAAGGAGGTCCTCCATTGTGCATTGCAGCAGGTGGTCAGTGGTTTGCTCTTCTCCACACTCGCATGTCGTGGATTCCACTTTGTGGCCCCATTTCTTGAGGTTGGCTCTGCATCTCGTGGTGCCAGAGCGCAGTCTGTTCAGTGCCTTCCAAGTTGCCCAGTCCTCTATGTGCCCAGGGGGGAGTCTCTCATTTGGTATCAGCCATTGGTTGAGGTTCTGGGTTTGAGCCTGCCACTTTTGGACTCTCGCTTGCTGAGGTGTTCCAGCGAGTGTCTCTGTAGATCTTAGAAAACTATTTCTAGATTTAAGTCATTGACATGCTGGCTGATACCCAAACAGGGGATGAGCTGGAGATTTCTCTGCCTTGGTCCTTTCACTATTGGCTGCTACTTCCCGGCGGATGTCAGGTGGTGCAATACCAGCTAAGCAGTGCAATTTCTCCAGTGGTGTAGGGCACAAACACCCTGTGATAATGCGGCATGTCTCATTAAGAGCCACATCTACTGTTTTAGTGTGGTGAGATGTGTTCCATACTGGACATGCATACTCAGCAGCAGAGTAGCATATAGCACAAGGGCAGATGGCTTCACTGTGTCTGGTTGTGATCCCCAGGTTGTGCCAGTCAGCTTTCGTATGATATTGTTTCTAGCACCCACTTTTTGCTTGATGTTCAGGCAGTGCTTCTTGTAGGTAAGAGCACGGTCCAGAGTGACTCCCAGGTATTTGGGTGCGCTGCAACGCTCCAGTGGGATTCCTTTCCAGGTGATCCTCAGAGCTCGGGATACTTTTCTGTTCTTGAGATGAAAAGCACATGTCTGTGTTTTAGATGGGTTGGGGATCAGCTGGTAATTTTATTGGTATCTATCAACCAGCTGATAGATAGCAATAAAATTACGTTAATTGAGGGATCCGCAGGTTAAATGTTTTTGAATCTATATAAATAAAAAATGTAATGTTCGTTTGTGGGATTAATATAACTCAAAAACCACTGGACGAATTGACATGAAATTTGGATACTACACCCCTAACAGACCAATAAGTGACCATCACTCATAAACCCCTCCCAAAAAACAGTGGAAAGGACTTAAAAACACCAAAAAGCTAAATGACCATATAGCGCATGTGCGAAAACGACAGCTCCCAGCATCCCTTAGACGAGGCCCTTTAGGGGAGGAGGATGACGTCCAACTCTGTCACCTCTTCCCACCTGCTACTAAGGAGGCTGTCCAGGTCCTGAACCGGTGCTTGGCTGCTGTGACGGTCTGGATGAGGGCGAACAAATTGTAATTGAATCCAGACAACACAGAGGTACTCCTGGTCAGTCACAAGGCCGAACACGGGATAGGGTTACTACCTGTGCTGGATAGGGTTACCCTCCCCCTGAAGACGCAGCTTCGCAGCTTGGGAGTAATCCTGGACTCATCACTGAGCCTGGAACCCCAGGTCTCGGTGGTGGCTGGGAGAGCTTTTGCACAACTAAAACTTGTGCGCCAGCTGCACCCGTTCCTTGGGAAGTATGACTTGGCCACGGTGGTCCACGCTCTGGTTACATCCCGTATAGACTACTGCAATGCTCTCTACGTGGGGTTGCCTTTGAAGACTGTTCGGAAGCTCCAAATGGTCCAACGGGTGGCAGCCAGGTTGCTAACAGGAGCGGCGCCCAGGGAGCATACAACTCCTCTGTTGCGCCAGCTCCACTGGCTGCCAATTTGCTACCGAGCATAATTCAAAGTGCTGGCTTTAGCCTATAAAGCCCTAAAGTTCTGGCCCTGCTTACCTGTCTGAACGTATCTCTCCTTACGAACCCTCTGGGAATTTAAGATCTTCTGGGGAGGCCCTGCTCTCAGCCCTGCCATCTTCACAGGTTCGATTGGCGGGGACGAGGGATAGGGCCTTCTCAGCGGTGGTCCCTCGGTTGTGGAATGCCCTCCCCAGGGACATTAGATCAGCCCCCACTCTCTTAATGTTTCGCCAAAAAAATTAAAACCTGGCTATATGATCAGGCCTTGCCAAATGCAGTGTAGCTATGAAACTCTGATCTCGGAATGGTTGGACAACGTGACTGGATAATGACTGGTAATGAAATGCAGAGGACTTACGGTTTTTATTATGTTACTGATGTTAATTGTAATGGGTTTTTTACCTGTGTTCAATGTTTTTAATGTTTAAATTGTTTTTGTACTGTTGTGGGCATTGAATTGCGCCATTTTGTAAACCACCATGAGTTGCCCTCGAGCTGAGAATGGCGGTATAGAAGCATAGTAAATAAATAAATAAATAAATAAATAAATAAATAAATAAATAAATAAATAAATAAATGGTCCAAATGCATTTATTCTTGGACTGCTGGGAGTTGCAGTCCAGGAATAGGAAATAGGAAATATATACGGATTGGGATGCTCTCAAACAAATCCAAGGGGAAGCTTCCCCTTGGATTTGTTTGAGAGCATCCCAATCCGTACATATTTCCTATTCCTGGACTGCAACTCCCAGCAGTCCAAGAATAAATTGATCTATATATCAACTATCTACCTCTGTATAATCTAGCTATCTTATCTATCTGCAACTCCAGATAGATTAGATAGATAGATTAGATAGAGGTAGATAGTTGGTAAATAGATCAATTAGAAGGGCTGCTGGGAGTTACAGTCCAAGAAAAGGTAGAGAGGGAAGAAAGGAGAGAAAGAAAAAGGGAAGGGAAGGAAGGGAGAGGAAGGAAGGAAAGAGGTAGAGAAGGAAGGAAGGAGAGAAGGAAAGAAAAAAGGGAAGGAAGGAAGGAAGAGAGAGAGAAAGAAAGAAAGAAAGAGAGAGAGAGAGAGAGAGGGAAGGTTGGCCACAGCAACGTGTGGCAGGTACAGCTAGTATTTACATAAAACTGTAATTTAAGGTAAGACTGTCCAACTCTGATTAAACCATTATTTTAACCTTCTTCAATGTAAATGTGCTTACATATCCTTCCAATAATAACAAAGAGAGCAAAATAATAAATGTGATTAAAATAATAAAGTAAAACAATGTAAAGGTAATAATAATAATAATAAATAGAGTAAAATAATAAATGTAATAAAACAATAATATATAAAGTAAAATAATAAATATAATAAAATAATAATAATAGAGTAAAATAATGTAAATGCAATAATAGAGTAAGATAATAAATGTAATAAAAATAATACTAATAACAGAGTAAAATAATAAATAACCTTGACTAGATTATAAGCCGAAGGGAGCGTTTTCAGCCCAAAAAATGGACTGAAAAACTAGGCCTATACTTGAGTATATAAGTAAGTGGATCAATGGCCAGTACCTATGGTTAATTGTTCAACTGTAGCACAGAAAGGCAATGCATAGAGGCAGTGTGCATCACATGACATTCTGTACATTCATGTACTGATGAATACATGAACAACTCCAGTTTGCACCAATGGGAGCTGGATATTTTATTTATTTATTTATTTATTTACGATATTTGTAGCCCGCCTTTTTTTACAGGTTGGCACAATTCGATGCCATACATCCATAAAAGTGCAATTAAAAACCATCAACATAACAATATAAAATCATATAGAAAAACCATTAAAACATCTAATCATTGGTGTCATCTTGTTAAAAGCGTTTCCAGTGACATCGTCTAGCCATTCCATGTTCATCAATTCGTAGTTCCATGTTATCTATTCTGCTGCATTCTGAAAAGCTTGCTCAAAGAGCCAAGTTTTTACCTTTTTTTGGAAAGTCAGGAGGGAGGAGGACTATCTAATATTCCTGGGGAGTTCCATAGCTGGGGAGGCCATCACTGAGAAGGCCCAGTCCCTCGTCCCCACCAATCATGCTTGCGAGGCAGGGGTGATTGAGAGCAGACAATCTTAAGCTCCTAGATGGTTCATAGTTTGGACAGGTAAGCTGGGCCGGAACCGTTTAGGGCTTTATAGGCTATGACTTGTGCCTTGTCTAATAACAATCACTCTGGATTTGTAAGTAATAGGAGTAGGCATATGTTACTTAACAGATTGCTGGCTGTGTTGTGGAAGATAGACATGCATGTATTAGCTATTATGTAAGTGATGAGAGGGTGTCGCTTCAGGAAAATACCATAATCCAAGCTGAATTTTTGGTTTCCAACAGGTTCTAGATGTGAATCAACCCCATGATGCAACATGTCTCCCCAGCACCAGCTCTGACAATGATGGCCACACAGACTGTGCCCCCTCCGCCATACCAAGAAACCCAACAGGTGAGTCTGTTATTGAATTCTGCTCCATTCCTCAATATTTGGTGATGGACTTCCAGGTTTTGATATTGGGAAGAGCACCTTTGAGTACTGCTCTGCAATAGAAAAAGTGACAAACAAAGAGTGGGCATGTCTCTGTCAATATATATAGGCATGGGCAAATGTTGGCCCTCCAGGTGCTTGAATGGCTGAGGGGGAAAGGAAAGGGCCTGAGGCTATTGGGAATTGTGGGTGTTGAAGTCCAAAACACCTGGAGGACCAAAGTTTGCCCAAGCCTGGTATATACCGTATGTTCTATTTCTATACTCATTTGTTGAAAAAGATCTCGGATTCCTCGTGGACAACAAGTTAAACATGAGCCAAAAATGTCATGCAGTGACAAAAAAAGCCAATGAGATTTTGGCCTGCATCAATAGGAGTTTAGTGTCGAGATTCAGAGAAGTCATGCTACCCCTCTATGCTGCCTTGGTCAGACCACATCTGGAATCACACTGTGTCCAATTCTGGGCACCACAATTGAAGGGAGATGTTGACTCTAAGCTGGAGTGTGTCCAGAGGAGGGCAACTAAAATGATAAAGGGTCTGGAAAACAAGCCCTATGAAGAACGGCTTAAAGAGCTGGGCATGTTTAGCTTGAAGAAGAGAAGGCTGAGAGGAGACATGATGGCCATGTATAAATATGAGAGAGGAAGTCATATGGAGGAGGGAGCAAGCTTGTTTTCTGCTGCTCTGAAGACCAGGACGCGGAACAATGGCTTCAAACTACAAGAAAGGAGATTCCCCCTGAACATTAGGAAGGACTTCCTGACTGTGAGAGCTGTTCAGCAGTGGAACTCTTTGCTCAGGAATGTAGTGGAGGCTCCTTCTTTTGAGGCTTTTAAACAGAGGCTGGATGGGCATCTGTCGGAGGTGTTTTGATTGCAATTTTCCTGCTTCTTGGAAGGGGTTGGACGGGATGACCCAGGAGGTCTCTTGCATCTGATGCTTCATCTGGCTACCTTTCCCGTACTTGGGACTTTTATCCCCTCATTAAGCTATCCCAAGCAATCAGAAATTGGTTTCACTTTAGTTGAGATTCCCTTATCTTTTTCTGTCAGAGCCTGGCAGAATGCTGAATCCACTGTTCGGCTTGTCTGTTTTGACTAATCTTCTGCCTTCTATCTATTTGCTCATTAACTTTTGCAGCTGGGCCAGGTGCTGAGTTGTTTTCAAGCCCCAAATCCTGGGAACTCTCTGGTAGCAATTCAGGGAGTACACCATCATCCCCACACCCTTCAGGGACATTCTCATGGGAACCTATACTTTGAACAGGAGTCTCCTGATCATTCTCTGCATCAATATCATTGACCAAACCATTTCCATTTTGAAACTCATTGGCATCACTCTCCACATCCAAAGCACCCTGATCCTGAAACACAACCACAGACTGAGCTCCAATAATTCCTTTCTCCTATTTCCCCCACTCCATCCTTATATGTAACAGCCAGTCATCCGGTTTTGTTCCCATCTTAAAATACAGAACTGGAGCTTCATACGTTGCCTCTTTCCAGACATTGGCGTGAATAGAATAGGCATTCCTTGATTGGCGTTTACATTACTTGAGAGAAAACAGCTCAAGAGCAGGGAGGGGATGGATGGAGGCTGTCCAACTGAAAGGAGATACTGCCGCATTCCCAAGTTAATGCTCTTCTTGGAGAACTGTAAAAGATATGAGCCTATAAAAGACAGCTGTAGTCTCTCAGAGACTGTGACACATACCTGCAACAAACCAAGCAGATTGTGGCAAAGCCCTTGGGCCACTAACATTTGAGCCACTGACTTTCTAAGGTCTCTGTGGTGTTTATTCCAGAGGTTAAGAGCAGATTCTTGCAATAGTTTGGGATCTCTTTGAAGTTCAGAGTCTTATGACCATGGTGAAATCAATCTTGCAATGCAGGTGGAATGACTATGTGACCATCACTGGGAAAATATCATTATGAATAAACAAAAAAAGATTTGCAACCATTTTTGGGGAAAATTATTGAAGTTGAATTGGAAGGTTCTGCAAGGGCAATCTAGTGCAGCCCATTGCTATTATTTTTATTTATTTACTTACTTACTTACTTACTTACTTACTTACTTACTTACTGTATTTGTATTTTATTTTTATTTATTTATTTATTTATTTCTGGTACTTCTACCCCGCCCTTCTCAACCCCCGGGGGGGGGGGGGGACTCAGGGCGGCTTACAAGAAGGCACGATTCGATGCATATACAAGATATACATACATACAAAACAGCAGTTAAAACAATTAGCAAGTTAAAAATAATCAGTACATAACACAATCAATAAAACTAATCTCATGTTCAGCATTCAGAGTTCCATAATTCCATTCCGTTTAGTCAATTCCTATCCATTGTCAAGTCCTTTCTTTAGCTGCCAGAATGTCCAAATGCCTGGTCCCAAATCCAAGTTTTCATTTTTTTCCTAAAGGAAAGGAGGGAGGTCGCCGATCTAATCTCCCCGGGGAGTGAGTTCCACAGGTGGGGGGCCACCACTGAGAAGGCCCTGCTCCTCGTCCCCGCCAACCTCACTTGTGAGAGTGGCAGGGTCGAGAGCAGGGCCTCCCCAGAAGATCTTAAGCTTCGAGGTGGGATGTAGAGGGAGATCCGTTCGGACAGATACGCTGGGCCGGAACCGTATAGGGTTTTGTAGGTCAAAACCAGCACTTTGAATTGTGCTCGAAATTGAATCGGCAGCCAGTGGAGCTGATACAACAGGGGGGTGGTATGCTCCCTGTATGACGCTCCGGTGAGCAATCTGGCTGCCTCCCGCTGGACTAGTTGGAGTTTCCGAACAGTCTTCAAAGGCAACCCCACGTAGAGTGCATTGCAGTAATCTAATCGGGATGTAAGAAGAGCGTGTATACCACCTTTCTCAGCCCGTACTCGACTCAAGGTGGTTAACAGGGCAAAATTCAATGCTTACAATGGCATAAATACAGTTAAAAACATAGCACATAATAAAACTTAAACAAATAAATAAAATATGAATTCATAGTGTCTCTTTGTTAAAAATGTTGTCCGGACTCATTGACTAGTCGTTCCATTTTCCTATGTCAGTTACTCTGCATTTGCGAATGCTTGTTCAAAGAGCCACATCTTGACTTTTTTCCGGAACGTTAAAAGGGACGTGGCCAATCTAATATCTATAGGGAGGGCGTTCCACAGCCGAGGGGCCACCACCAAGAAGGCCCTGTCCCTCATCTCCGCCAAACGTACTTGTGACAAAGGCGGTACTGGGAGCAGGGCCTCCCCAGATGATCTTAAGGTCCTAGATGGTTCATAAGGGTTTCTGGAACTGACAACTAAAATGCTCCTGAAAGATGTCAATCTAGAAGGAGAGTTGACCACCCCCTGAGGCAGTCTGTTTCATTGTAGAGCAGCGAGAAACTGACTCAAACTGCATCTGAAAAAGTCAATGGGATGCATAAATAGGAGTATAGTGTTTAGATCTAGTGAAGCCATGGTACGCCTCTATTCTGCCTTGGTCAGACCACACCTGGAATCACACTGTTTCCAATTCTGGGCACTGCAATTGAAGGGAGATGTTGACTCAAAGCTGGAATGTGTCCAGAGGTGAGTAAAATGATCAAGGGTCTGGAGAACAAGCCGTATGAGGAGTGGCTTAAAGAGCTGGGCATGTTTCACCTGCAAAAGAGAAGGTTGAGAGGAAACATGATGAGAGTCATGTATAAATATGTAAGGGGAAGTCATGTAAGGGGAGGAAGGAGCAAGCTTGTTTTCTGCTGCCCCTGGAAACTAGGGTGAGGAACAATGGCTTCAAGCTACAGGAAAGGAGATTCCTATATGGTTCCGGCCCAGTTTACCTGTCCAAACATATTCTCCCCTATGAACAATCAAGGACACTAAGATCTTCCGGAGAGGCCCTGCTCCTGGTCCCGCCACCTTCGCAAGTACGTCTGGTGGGAACGAGAAACAGGGACTTCTATATGGTGGCCCCTCGGCTATGGAACTCTCTCCCATGCGAGATCAGATCTTTCCCCTCCCTCTTGTTCTACAGAAGGCTAGTGAAATCCTGGCTATGGAATGAGGCATTCCCAGAATAATGGCTGAGATGGGTTACAGACCAAAGTGAGCAACCACATATGCAGACTGAGTTGAACATGATTTTATCTTGGCAATTTGGCTTATATGTATTTTATCTATATGTATTTTAATCTTGTATTGTTGTATGAGGTTTTAATTTGTATTAGTAGCATTGAATCCTTGCTGAGTCCCTCTACGGAGGTGAGAAGATCGGGATATAAAAGCTTTAAATAAAGAAATAAATAAATTCCACCTGAATCTTAGGAGGAACTTCCTAACTGTGAGAGCTGTTCAGCAGTGGAACTCTCTGCCCTGGAGTGTGGTGGAGGCTCCTTCTTTGGAGGCTTTTAAACAGAGGCTGGATGGCCATCTGTCGGTGGTGCTTTGAATGTGATTTTCCTGCTTCTTTGCAGAATGGGGTTGGACTGGATGGCCCACAAAGTCTCTTCCAACTCTATGATTCTATGAAATTAAACAAGTTCTTCAGATTCTAAGGAAACAACCCATGCAAATCTTCGTGCAAACTGAGCTCACAACCTCTGAGGATGCCTGCCATAGATGGAGTCAGGAGAGAATGCTTCTGGAACATGGCCATACAGCCCAAAAAACTTACAACAACTCTGCAAATCTTAGTTGTTACAAAAGAGATCAGGTTCACCAAGGAAGACGACACGCCAAAGAAAGAAATGATTGTAACAAGACTGGATCGTCGTGTCGTGTCAGGAGGAACTTGAGAAACTGCAAGTCGCTTCTGGTGTGAGATAATTGGCCGTCTGCAAGGACGTTGCCCAGGGGACACCCGGATGAGTTGATGTTTTTATCATCCTTGTGGGAGGATGTCCCCGCATGAGGAGCTGGAGCTGATAGAGGGAGCTCATCCGCCTCTCCCTGGATTCGAACCTGCGACCTGTCAG